AGGACTTGGAATTCCTTAATTTTGGGGGTGCACTTTAGCAATAATAATCCTTCTATGTTGAACATTTACCCTTGCTCTTTTAGCAGTATAGTACGACATACCATCATTATGAAAGGGAATCGCTACACAATTAAGTTATGTTATACAAGTATCTTTTTCAAACAAGTTATATCTTTTACACTTCATGCAAACAAAACACAATTATAATCCTTCTATGTTCAACATTTACCCTTACTATTTTAGCAGTATAGTACGACATACCTTCATTATGAAAGTGAATCACTGCACAAGTTATGTTATATCTTTTCCGATAGGAATAAACATATTAGGCTATACGAAAATGAGTTATCAAGCAGTACGAATATAAATGGTAGGAATAGTAATGTCAAACTGTAATTCTCAAACTAAATTCTCGATTCTCAAACCTGCAACGTACAAAATTCTAAATGTTAGGATAATGGGAGAAATATATGCTTACTAAAGGCAATATCTGTCAAAATGAATGAAGGGAACTATATACGTAGTAAGAACTTCATCAATAGTGAATGTGGTTACTTTTCCTTCTCAAAGTGCATATCATTAGCCTCCAACCCTTAAAATCGGAGTTATTGTTTAACGTCTCCAGCGATTTCTAAAGGCAGCGCGTGGCAGACCTCTCATCTGATAGCGCAATTTAAATGCATGACTTACTTTGTTAAAAAAGAGACAAGTTCATAATTGAAAAGGGACACAAATACAAGTACTTTTTCCACCTTTCCATACTTTACCTATTCTTTATTCTGGATTGCTAGAGATATAATGGATCAACATTATTTTATGGGTCACCACATGCAAATGTCTTGTGTGAAGAACTAAAGCCCAAATTCTCATACGGCATTTCAAGATTTGCCACTTCAATTTTTTGTCTACACGTATAATAAAATACTTTATGTTCCTGGATATTACCATCGACAAAAACACAACGGAAAAAAAAAAGGATGACACCCCATCCCTGAGGGCCCCCAAACACGGACCGGACGGCACGCAAATTGGACTATAATCACAATCTGACAGATAGAGAGTGAGGCTTTGTCCCTATGCATTTTTCAGCATAATAACCCCTCATCGTAGTTGCCGGGATTCGAACCCGAGACCTAACCCTTGTGGCACTCCCTCGCTACCAGTTAAGCTACGCCCACCGGTGACAAAAACACAACGGAGTATTTAAAAACCAAATTGAAAATGACCTAATGAGATGCATTTCATACTTCACCGATAATCCACCTAATATTGTAGTACCGTACAATAGACTAATTTTAAATAAAATTAAATAGTATTTATATTATTAACAAGTACCTAATGAGAAACTTCCAATTGTTGTTATGAGGTCTTGACTAATTAATGACTTCAACTAATGAGAATTATTACTAGTAATTTTAAATATCATCAATTTATTCAATTCACCGGGTTATTCAATTAAAGATTTACAAAACACATCTTTAGCATTACAAATGTGATTATAACATTAGAAATCTTTTGTTCATACAAGTAGGACTCTTCGATCTCCCTCTCTCGCAATGTCATCTAATATAGATAGCTCTTACCTCCAAATCATTACAAAAATACTTTTTGCTAGTCATGTGAGAGATTCAAAGTAAAAGTCAAACCTTAAAAGTCAAAATACTTCCCTCAACAAAAATAAGTTGAAATAAAAAAAGCGACAAAACAAAAGAGACAACAATAACGAAAACAGTAAATTAAAATAATAGAAGCGCATTGTCTTGCTAGACTTCCTTCTATTCCACTCTTGTCAAGTAGCAACGTTAAATTTTTGTCTAGCTAGTCACTACCAGCTGGCCCGCCACACTCCCATTTTTCGAAGACACATAATCCACCTCCATGCCGCTGCTAGAATCAACTAGAATCTTTAGCTTAATCCTCTTCCGCCTATTGTGAATAAAATCACCCCGTGAGTCAGGGTGCCTACAATCCTTTATTTATATAGGAGGCAAATGATTACAAGAATAATTACAATAGTTAAAATATATTCTACCATTAACTAACCTACCATATACAAAGATATCCTACCATATTATAATAAAACATATCGTACAATTATATGCTATCACCCCCCCTCAAGCGCATCGTTGGATGAAGACATACACGGAGCTTGGAACGGAAGGAGGTGAACAAGGAACGAGAGAGTCCTTTGGTAAAGATATCCGCGACTTGAAGAGTAGTAGGAACATACTGAACGCATAGCTTGTTGAGAGAAACGAGTTCACGTATGAAATGGTAGTCAATATCAATGTGTTTGGCACGTTTGTGAGCCACTGGATTCTGTGATAAGAAAATGGCACTTTTATTATCACAAAGAAGCAAAGGTGGAGTAGGTAACAATACGCGAAGATCACGAAGTAGATGCATGAGCCAAACCACCTCCGAAGCAGTATTAGCCAAAGCACGATATTCAGACTCACAACTAGAACGAGAAACAGTTGGTTGCTTTTTGGCACTCCATGAGATCAAATTGTCCCCAAGAAAAATGGCATAACCGTAGGTAGATCTGCGCGTTTCAAGACAACGAGCCCAGTCAGCATCAGAATAGCCATGAATGGTGGGTGCGGAAGCAGAGCGGGTAAAGTTAAGGCCATAGTGGATCGTTCCCCGAACATAACGTAAAATACGTTTAACCGCTTGAAAATGTTCAACAGTAGGAGCATGAAGATATTGACTAACTGAGTTGACAGCATAAGATAAATCTGGTCGTGTAATTGTAAGATACTGAAGAGCCCCGACAATAGAGCGGTAAAAGGAAGGGTCAGAATAAGGTTGGCCAGAAATGCTGTTTAACTGAGAGCCGGGCTCCCAAGGGGTTGAAACGGGATTGGCATTTAACATAAGAGCACGATCAAGAATATCTCGGGCATATTTTGCCTGGCCAAGAAACAACCCATCAGTCGTATGAGTGACCTCAATACCTAAGAAATAGCTGAGATTCCCGAGATCTTTGATGGAGAATTCCTTATCAGTGCGGGTGATGAAGCGATGGATCACATCAGAACGATTGCCGGTAATGATGATGTCATCTACGTACACCAAGAGATATAGTAAAATAGACTCGTGAGAAAAGGTGAATAGGGAAGTGTCAGCCTTACTGCACAAGAAACCAAGAGAGAGAAGATAATCACTAAATCGCTTAAACCAAGCACGCGGTGCTTGTTTAAGACCATATAAAGCTTTCCGTAGAAGACAAACATGATCTGGAAATCGAGAATCAATATATCCGGGCGGTTGTTCCATATAAACAGGTTGATCAAGAACACCATTGAGAAATGCGTTTTTGACATCAAGCTGATGAATGGCCCACCCATGATGGACGGCAAGAGCGAGAACAGTACGTACTGTGGCAGCTTTAACAACAGGGCTGAAGGTATGTGTGTAGTCGAAACCAGGGAGTTGAGAATAACCTTGAGCAACCAAACGGGCTTTGAGCCGTTCTACAGAGCCATTTGCTAAATATTTAGTGCGATACACCCATTTAGAGCCGACAACATTGACACCCAAAGGACGAGGGACAAGCTGCCAAGTAGAGTTGGAGTGGAGTGCACGGAGTTCTTCTTCCATGGCAGCAACCCAGCCAGGGTGTTTCATAGCAGATTTGTATCCTTTTGGTTCAGATTGAGAAATTAGAGCAGCAAGTAAGCCAGTGGGTGTAAAATCTGGGAATTGTTTGGGCTTATAAATGCCGGCTTGAGATCGTGTGCGCATGCTATGACCGACCTGAGCGGGTGCAGAGGTAGAAGATAGCTCAGGTGTGGTGTGAGGGGTAGATTCTGATCCTGGAGTAGTGGTTTCAGCTGAGGAAGTAGCCGAGGAAACTTCTCTGGGTGAGGAAGCATTGTGAGAAGAACAAAGACGGCATACTGATGCACTGGGAATGGGGATGGTGGGATTCACATGGGAGGGCGAGGTTTCTGGTGCGGCTGGAGTTGAATGATCATCCAAAAAAGAAGAGACATCCAAGGAAGAGACAGAGGTAGGTGAACCCAAGGATTGCTGAAACGGGAAAAAAGATTCATCAAACCGGGCATGTCTAGAGATGTAGGTGCGGCCAGAGTTATTATCATAGCATTTAAAACCCTTATGATGGGTACTATAGCCGATAAAAGTGCAGGGAACTGAGCGTGGAGAAAATTTGTGTTCGGTATGAGCCCGTAAGCATGGATATACTCGACACCCAAATGGATGGAAGGTAGAGTAATCCGGTATATTCCCATAAACTAGTTCATAAGGAGTGGAATTTTGCAAGAGAGAAGAGGGCAGCCGATTGATGATGAACACAGCAGTTGAGAAGGCGTCGACCCAATAAGATAGAGGAACGCCAGAGTGAAAAAGCATTGCAAGCCCCGTTTCAGTGACATGGCGATGTTTTCGTTCTGCACGCCCATTTTGAGCGGCAGTGGCAGGACAAGACATCTGATGATGGATGCCACTGGCATGATAATGAGCTTGAATTTTGAGATTAGTAAACTCTGTACCACCATCTGTTTGAAAAACCTTAATATGAGCAGAGAATTGATTTTCCACCAACTTTTGAAATTGAATAAAGATGTCATAGAAATCAGACTTGCGATAGAGCGGATAAAACCAAGTGAAACGAGAGTAGTCGTCTATAAAAATGGCATAATAGCGAAAACCTTGCACAGATAAGAGGGGGGCAGGACCCCATAAATCACAATGCACCAAGTCCAACAAATGAGAAGCACGTTTATCATTAGTAGGAAAAGGTAAACGAGCACTTTTAGCCATTTGACAGGAACAACAACTGATCGGCTTTGGTAAAACAGAAGTTACATATAAACGACCCAATTTGTTTAATAGTTTTATTGTAGCAAACGAAACATGACCAAGGCGAGAGTGCCATAATTCAAAGGAAGCTCTAATGTTGTGAGACCGCAAAACTCCCAAGAAAGCGTTGTGAGTGTTGTCCAGCATATATAAGCCACCGCTACGCCTGCCTCGACCCACGATCTCTTTTGTGAATTTGTGCTGAATAGTAAAGACATTATCATCAAATAAAACAGTGACAGGTAAGTCATGAGTGAGTTTACTAATGGAGAGAAGGTTTTTGGTAAGATGAGGAACAACAAGCACATCATTCAGTACGAGATCTTGTGAAAGAGAGGAGGTGCCAATATGAGAAATGGACAGAGTAGCACCGTTACCGACGGATACATGATTATTACCCGTATATGGTTCTGTATGATCAAGGGCAGACTTATCAGCAGTCATGTGTGAAGAAGCGCCCGAATCAACATACCAATCAGAAGATTCTGCTGAATTGAGAGAAACAGCATTAAAAGCTTCTGCTAGCTGGGCCGCATTAGAAGCAGAACCAGTGCGCACAAACCTGTCTGGACAATCATTTGCAAAATGGCCATCAATTTTGCAAATCTGACAGCGTGGCACAAATGGGCGTCGAGGGCGACGTGGATTAGATGCAAAGCGCGTGCCGGAAGAGGTATGCGACTGAGAAGAATTCTGCTTTGGCGGACGAGAAGAGCGATGACCACGAGAGGGAACGGGAGGTGAGTGTGCAGCAAAAGCAACCGTGGATGCACCAACAGATTCTTCCAGGGATTTCATAAAGAGGGCATGACTCTCTGCCTCAGCGATAACATCACGAAGGGCGGGCAAAGGAACAAGTTTGAGTTGGGTGAGCGAAAAACTGGTGAAGGAGGGTCCCAGACCACGGCAAAACCAGTGAATTTTATCGACCTGAGAAACAGGAGAGCCAATAGCTGCAAGTTGCTCGCAGTAGGTGTGAAACAGATTGCCATAATCGGTGACGGTTCGGGAGCCCCGGCGAAGCTGCTGCAATTCATCCCGTAATTGGATTTCTCGGGATTTTGAAGATAGGCTAAAGGCAGATGCCAGGGCTGCCCATACCTGAGCAGATGTGGTGCAGCCAAGGGTTTGAGACATGGCCTCCTCCGTAAGGGAAGATAATAACAACGACACCAATCGTTTGTCTTGAGTCTTCCAAGCAGCAAGAAGCTTTTGTTCATCAGGAGTTGGGGAAGTAGAGATAGTTGGGGAAGGAATAGAGCCATTAATATATCCGAAGAGGTTTTGAGATTCTAGCAGAGTCTCAACCTGATTTCGCCAAAGAAGGTAATTTGAGGAGGTCAATTTGATAGTAATCATATGAACTAGGGTAGCAAAAGGAAGAAGAGCTTCAGAATCTGCCATGACAGCGAGAATAGTAGGAAAGGTGGGGGGAAATTAGGCTGATACCATGTGAATAAAATCACCCCGTGAGTCAGGGTGCCTACAATCCTTTATTTATATAGGAGGCAAATGATTACAAGAATAATTACAATAGTTAAAATATATTCTACCATTAACTAACCTACCATATACAAAGATATCCTACCATATTATAATAAAACATATCGTACAATTATATGCTATCACCTATGATTAGATTTCAGCTCCCGGCCAGACTGATTGTTACGTATCAAAATTCCGCGATCTTCCTCCTTTGCACCCTCTATCCCATAACCTTCCATGTGCGCCATGTTGTGTCCCATAACCTTCCATGTGCGCCACTTGTTACCTTCTACTTGCATCTGGCCTCTAGGGGCTTTAAGCCACGGCCCAACTGGGTTAGGGTTCTCGTAGCGGATATTAACTCAAAAACTCAGCCTCCCCGATTTTGCAACTATAATTCTTTTTAAGAGGTTTACCAATATCTAGAGCCACCTTAATTACATTATATTATTATTTTTTCTATCTATAAATATGATATTAATAGTTTGGAAAATAATAAAAATTAGAGATATTACCCAAAATGGGACTAAAAAGTTTGGAAATTCCAAAATAGGACTTCCATGTTTTTTTTCTCAAAATAGGACTTCCATGTTTTTATTCCCAAAATAGGACTAATTACTGTCATGTTTTGGCAGTACCGGACTTCAAACATGGCAATATTTTGGGAAAATGGAAACTAATAATCCAACCTTTCAGCGGTCTTCTTTCAATAATCCCACCTTTTGATTATTCATGAATAATCCAACCTTTGCACCTCATCTTCATTCATTGGTCTCTGGTTGGTTAATGACCTACTATTCCAAGTTATTTTCTTATCTTTTCAAAATATTATCTTTGTGAAAGATGAGATTTATGATATAATAATTTGCAAAGATAAGAAAATAGCTTGAAATAGCAGGTCATCAACCGGTCAGGGACCAGTGAATGAAGATGAGGTGCAAAGGTTAGATTATTCATGAATAACCAAAAGGTTGGATTATTGTAAGAAGACCGCTAAAAGGTTGGATTATTAGTTTCCATTTTCCCCAATATTTTCCAAATTTGGCAGTAATTAGTCCTATTTTGGGAATAAAAACATGACAGTCCTATTTTGGAATTTTCAAACTTTTTTAGTCCCATTTCGGGAACTTTCCCTAAAAATTATTGTTAACTTGAATTCGAGCCCGAGTTCAAGCATCTTATTCAAACTAAAACCTATAAAAATTAATTAGTAAAACTTGACCTAAGTTTAACTCGAGTTCGAGCCCAAATTATTTTGTTTATCCAAGTTAGAAGCGGAGCTCGTGAATTTTTATTAAGCAGCCCCTAAGCATACTCATATTCGAGGTCGACTGGTTTGCAACATAATGGTATAATGTTGAATTTATGCAAATTGACTCTTAATTAAACATATTCGGTTAATTATTTAAAAGTTCAGAACATTTTGAATCATGTTTACCGAGTTCAATTCCTTTGATTTACCAGTCTCATGCAGTTTCGAGTTCAATTCGTTTGAAACAAAACCCTTTCATCTCACTCCTCTTGCTCATTGGAAGCAAGGACATTTTTTCCGAGCATCCACCTTTTCTGCCAGGCACTTTTTTCTTGAAAGATTTGTACTCTCAATCTCTCTGTCAATCATCACTCGGTGGTTCTTCCCAGCCCCACGATGCTGCTCCGTGCATATCAGTTGCTATTGTTTCAGATCTGGTTACTGCTCGGTCTTCTGTTTCAGACACTTACCATTTGTTGAAGCTCATTCTTGGTGGGTTTTTCTATCATTATTGTATGTTTTAACCAAAATTCATGCCCTTATATTTGATTTCTCTTCAAGTTATTGACAATAAAGATTCATTTTTATTATATTTACCAAATTTATAGACAAAGTTTGAGGGATTTCGGTTGGGAATTTTATCAATTTACTGGTTTTGAAGCAGCAGCTGATATATTTTCATTGAAGAAGAAAGTTAGGAAGGTGGAGGTAAAAGGGGATAGAGTCATGAAAGTTCAATGTTTGGGGATTTCAGGCCTAGTTATTTCCTTAGTGTTTCTTTGCTTCTCCATGAATGGGGAGGCTCAGACAAAAGCCTTTTACATAAACTGTGGTACAAATTCCAGTTTAACTATCGGTGGTAAAAAATGGGTAGGTGACTCAGCCCCAGTAAACAATTTAACCCTCAGTTCTCCTAGTATTGAGGCCTCCACTTCCCTGATCAATGGAAACAATCTCGATTATGCACCACTCTACAGAACTGCCAGATTCTTTTCTGGAAGCCTTAACTACACATTCCAAGCGCTGCCCAGGAATTTTTTCCTCAGACTCCATTTCTGTCCGTTTGAATTTCAGAACTACAATTTGAATGAGTCTTACTTTACTGTCAAGGCGAACGGATTGAGATTAGTCTCCAAGTTCAATGTTCCCAAAGAAATATCGGAGAAGAATTCATACACTCCAGGAAGGAGCAATTCTAGCTTTGTGTCCTTAGAAAAGGAGTACTTCATCCCTGTGGAAACCGATTTTTTTGTAATTGGATTCATCCCAGATAAAGGGTCATTTGGGTTCGTTAATGCCATTGAGATTGTTCCTGTTGTTGATAGGCTTTTCATTGACACTGTTAACAACGTCGGTAAGACTGGTGGGAAGTCATATTTGAACTTGAGCAAACAAGGAATTGAGACTATGTATCGGCTGAACATTGGTGGTTCAATGATCAAACCCATTCAAGATTCAGTCTTTGGGAGGTCGTGGGAAGAAGATTCAATCTTCATGATCAATCCAGACACTGGATCAGAAGCCAAGAACAGATCTAACATCACTTATGCATCCCCGAATGACACATCCATAGCCCCCCTTCTTGTCTATGAAACAGCAAGAACCATGACCAACACCGAAGTCGTGGAGAAGAGGTTCAACATGTCATGGAAATTTGAAGTGGACCCCGATTTCGAGTATTTGATCCGTTTACACTTCTGTGAGCTAGCGTATGATAAGCCGAGCCAGCGCATCTTCAAAATCTACATAAACAACAAAACAGCAGCAGACAAAGTTGATGTTTTCGCACGAGCAGGAGGAATGAACAAGGCATACCATGAGGATTACTTTGACGTGATGCCCTCAAAAAGCAACAGTCTTTGGGTGCAGTTAGGTCCAGACACATTGGAAGGTTCCCCAGATACAGATGCTCTACTGAACGGGTTGGAGATATTCAAGCTAAGTCACAATGACAACCTTGCCCATATTGAGAATAATGGGGATCTAAAAGCAAAAAAACACTCCAAAACTACAACCCTTTGGTTGGCGATTGGAATTGGGACAGTGTCTATTATGGTTCTTGCTGGAATTGCTTCGTTGGTCGCCTGTCTTTGTAATAAGAAGAGAAGCAAAGAAGAAGATGCATCCAAGAAGCTAGGATGGAGTCCTTTATTCCTTCATAAATCTATAGTGAGCAGCAATCGGAATGTGAAAGGATCAAATTCTTTGTCCATTGGTAACTTAAGATCGGGGAGGCGGTTTATGCTAACAGATATCAAAGAAGCAACTAACAACTTCGACGAGAGTTTGGTGATTGGAGTGGGTGGGTTCGGAAAGGTATTCAAAGGGTATATAGATGATGGAATCTTAGCAGCAATCAAACGGTCCAACCCACAATCTCAGCAAGGTCTAACGGAATTTGAAACAGAGATCGAACTCCTCTCAAAGCTAAGGCATAGGCATTTGGTGTCCCTTATAGGGTTCTGTGATGAAGAAAACGAGATGATATTGGTGTACGAGTATATGTCCAATGGGACCCTCAGGAGTCATCTGTTTGGTAGTGACCTGCCACCTCTAAGCTGGAAAAAAAGACTAGAAATCTGCATAGGCGCAGCTAGAGGGCTGCATTATCTCCATACTGGATCAGAACGTGGTATCATTCATAGGGATGTTAAGACAACCAACATACTGTTGGATGAAGAGTTTGAGGCCAAAATGGCTGATTTTGGGCTCTCCAAAACGGGCCCTGCTTTGGATCATACACATGTCAGCACGGCAGTGAAGGGAAGTTTTGGGTACCTGGATCCTGAATATTTCAGGCGGCAGCAGCTTACGGAGAAGTCCGATGTTTACTCATTTGGAGTTGTTTTATTCGAAGTTGCCTGTGCAAGAGCTGTGATAAATCCAAGCTTACCCAAAGATCAGATCAATCTTGCAGAATGGGCAATGAGGTGGCAAAGGCAAAGGTCACTGGAAACCATCATTGACCCGCAACTCAAGGGGAAGTATTCTCAGGAATCACTGGTGATGTTTGGTGAGGTTGCTGAGAAATGCCTTGCGGATGAAGGGAAATCCAGACCGACAATGGGTGAGGTTTTATGGCACTTGGAATCCGTCCTTCAACTTCACGAGTCTTGGCTGCAGTCTATTCATCATGGGGAGAAAGATGAACCTGAGAATATAAAAAATGATAGTTTTATGAGCCAATACACTACTTGTGTGGACACGTCAACAAACATGGCGGATTAATCTTGTTATACTGCGGTTCAGGCTGAAAAAAATCAAGTTTAATGCATTAGGAAGCTTGGACATCGAAAAGATTGGGAGTTTGGGACTATGATTGAATGAAGGCATTTTGGTTTTGTTGATTATTATTTTTATTTCTGTAGTTTAGCCATTGTTGCTTGCCTGTTCGATTCTTTTATTCTTTTATCTATCTTACTATGTTCATAGGATGAGAGATTGGTTATTTGATCATCTAAGGTTCCACTTATTGAAGAAGTAAAAAAAACAGTTATGAGTATTACGTATACTTGGTGCATTTGAATGTGATCACCCATTTTTTAGGTAGATTTTATGGTACCCATAAGGTATCATACCTTTGTCCACATGGATCAATCAAAACGATGCAGATGAATTATTTAAATCTAAATTAAATAGGATATAATGGTTTGGACCAATCAAATGCATGATAGGTATGGTACCCATTTTTTAAATGGGTACCGGAGTTGTCACCTTTTTTTTAA